AATTGGTGTTTTAACAAAGAGTGCTGGAGTATATTGTTTTGTACTGGGTACAGAAACAGGTGTTCCCCTTGCAGGTGGAGAGACTTCCTGATTACTATGCATTTTTGAAGAAAATATTGTTTATAGGAATTCTCAGTTCTGTTTGCCATGTATTTCTTTACCACTAAAACTTCCTGAAAGCTACTTGCCCCTTTTATCCAAGGTTTTTTCAGTCCTTTGGTTTGTCAGTGTTATAAGCAAATGCCAAAGAGGGTGAGAGAGTGAAAGTTCATGAAATGGCCTTGTCAGGTGTTTTTCTTAAGCAGTGAGAAATGCTGCGCTGTGTACATTTTAGGTTATGCCCCCGTCTGTCATCAGCACTGATTCTCATCACCAAAAGTTGTGCCATGCAAGATCACTACTTTTTTAACTATTCCTTTTCCTCCCCATCTCGAACAGGGATTTGAAAGCTTTTAGGTCTTGTTCTGATTTTACAGGGTATTTGGAGTGTATTTTCCATCCTGTGCCTTTCTTTCTGACTTTCATTTTCTTCTTAATGTGAATGTGTTCCTTTAGTACATGCCAATTTTGTTTTTTTGCTGTATTTATTTATGCTGGCTCTCATCCCGTTTAAACTGAATATCTAGACTGTATTTTCCCTTTGAAAAGCAATATGAAGGTCACTCTTTGATTTAGCCAGCAAGAGTTACTGTATGAGTAGTGTTTTGTTATTCCATCTAAATACATGAAAAGTATCACTCTCTGAGGAGGGAGAATTACAAACTTGATTAACGGTGAGGCAGTTCTTGGACGAGGTCTCCTCGTCCAAGTCTCACAGAATGGTAAATGTGTATGCCTGATAAAGCTGGTAACCAGCTCCCCACTGGAGAAGCCTTCACACTAAAATCTAAAATTTCCCAAGTTCTTGGAATTCAAAACTACAATTTTAAAATGGCAATTTAAATTATTTTTTGCACGGTTTTTAATGCATCATTCTGTATTCCAAACAGTCAGAGAAAAGAGGACTCTATTGTCTCAGTAGATACTCCCAGATAATGCCTGTGGAACATGTCACTGTGGTAGCAAACTTGCCAGGCAGTTTCTGCTACTTGTGTAATGAGTTGTGTGTTATTCCTTCATACAACTATTATTTGAAACCAGTGAAGCCATCTTGAGGTTTACATGGACTGCACTTTTTTTTTGCTGCATGCACAGCATTGTTTATGGATCTTCTCTGAGTTGATGGGTATGTAATTTATTATAGAACACATAAAGCAATTGATGCAGCTGCACCCTTTTCCTGAGCGTGAGTAGTGTGAGCAACATTAAACTTTCAGGGTTTGGGGGTTTTTTTGGACTCATGAAGAAAACACTAAGGTTCTATAAAATGCACTTTGCGAGGTGTAAGGATCAATATTTCACTACTCGTGTAAGACTACGCTGATATTTTAGTCCTTACTGGAAGAAGCTGAGTGGCCTTGGTAGGACTTTGCCCTCAACCTTTAGCACTCAACAAATTTTAAATGAGAAGTGATAATTTAAAGGACATGATGTAACTATGTTTGGCTGATAGTCTTTCTTTCTGGGGAAAAGTCAAACAGTTGTATTTTCAATTTGTGAACTACAAAGCTGTTTCTGAGTGTTTGATATATTACTGACACCCGGAAGTTGTACTATATCAATTTCCACATTTGCCTCTCCCCTTGAAAAAGTAAACTTATCATAATTGCCAACTGGAGAGATCAAGTGGAAGAAAAAACTGACATAAATTCAATCAGTATTACTTAGAAATTGCCTTCCTCATTAGGTATAAAACTATACATATATTTTTCACCTTTAATCTATTTTACGTGACAACTTTAGACTAAAGAGATTTACCATGGCCAGTCAAGTTTCACTTTCACTTCAGCAGTTTAGGCTGTCTATCTAATGTGTTTAACAAATGGAAGAAGCACCTAAAGTGAGTGCTCCAAATGATGACTAATATTTTTGGCGCATGTAGCTGCTCACACCAAACAGCATTTTGGGAATTTATACTTCTGTACTTCAGAGAGTTCTGTTGCAGGGACAAGAATGCTAATCTATCCATTTATTCTTGCCAAAAGCAGGAAATAGAAATAAAAAGAAAAAAGAGGTGTAACTGATGCCATGTGCTATCAATAATGTGTAAATGTCTTGTGGTGATTTTAAGTCATTATTCTGAAATGTGATGAAGGCATAGAGAACTTGATCTATTCTGGCAAAATGAGTACATCGATTCTTAGGAGTTACTCAGAAATTTGTATGAAGTCAGCATTGTGTTCCAGGCTAGTAACTGTCAGTCAGTAGTATGAGAGCGAATACTCCTTTTCCTTATGCAAAATTTTATGTTAGGATACTCGCAGAGTCTCACTGGCTTCTATGGAACCAATTAAAGTTAGAAAAATAATTTAAATTATAAAATATGGACAAAGAAGCTGCATTAAAAATTACTCCTGAGTTCATACCATCATATGTTCCATGTCCTGAGTTCCCAAACTGACCAGATTGTGTGCCAGGTTGAATCTGGCTGAAGCAGGCAAGTTTCCTGCAGAGACTGAAAAACAAGGGGTGGGAGCGAGGTGCACCTGATTCTTGCAGCTCTCTGGCATGAAGGGGCAGACACCCAGCTGCTGGTCCTCTCAGTACAGGAATATAACAGTACGGGAGTACAGGAGTATAACGTCAAGTTTTGCCTAAGGCTGTCATTTTTATCATCCTTTCAGTTGATTTTACAGTGATGTTACATTATCTGGAATTCAATGGCATAGGTAATTTTAGATTTTACAAATGAAAGTAATATTCTAGTGTCTTCCTAAGTGCGTGCAGCAGCCTCTTCTTCCCTGCCAGCTACTGTGGCAATGTTCATGAAGATGAGTACAGTTCAGGCATACTTACTACAGAAAAAATGTGGATATGCTGACATCTGGTATTGCAGCTCCAAAAAAGGCAGGTGGAGGACAGCAACAAAACCTGAAAACCGACTCTAAGAAACCAAGAGTTGAAAAGATAAGAACAAAGGGGATCTATTTCACCTCTAGCCCTCCTAAAAGTGCTAGAGCATGTTGTACTCATGCCAGCATTAAAACACTAACTCAAAGCATTGTGTTAGTAGCATCTTACAGTACTAACCTGCTTGTTAGTACTATGGCTGCTACTAAAATAATACTGTATTTCAGGAATTCCACATCTGGTGTTCTTCAGGGCTCTGTGCCACATGCCAGCCTCATGCTAAGAAGAGATGTTTCATGAGGCCAAAATGAGCAAATGAATGACTGAAAAAAAAAAAAAGAGGGAGCCCTGTTTTTTGACAAAGATATCATTTAAAAATCCTGTGGAAAACATGAAGAGCTAACCCTCTGACTCTTGTGGTGAAAGAAATACTAAAAGTTTTGGGTGGTGATCTAATTGAAGCTACAACTATGTATAAATCTGCAGTCAGAACTGCATTTACATGAGAGATCACAGATTTCAGCCCAAATACAGAAAACAGTTTCTTAATATACCAATCTCATTTTCTCTAGCTTAGCTTTGTATTTGTGTTTTACGTTTGTTATCATTTAGTGTCATTTAGTTTTATTTAGATGACGGGTGGGAAAATACAAGAATATGTGGACAGGGACACAGTGTTCACGCTCTCAACACTTCACCTCAGAGATGAATGCTGCATGCAAATAAAATTCAGAACATAAGGCAGTGTGTAGAGAAGGATGTTAGAGAAAGAAAACGAATGGGATTCTTTGCTGAACTACATATAGTACACGCATATATACCAGTTCTGGGATAGGTTAAAACTAAGAGACTTTAAATATACTTTTATCTTGAAATTTACTTCAGTTGTTTTAACAGGGTAAATAAAAACAACAACAATAACAAAATCATTGAAGAGAAAATATAAAATAAATCAGTCACACAAAATATTTAGGTTACGTAGAAATCATTTGTCACTCTGAAGCTCACTGACAAATGTAGAAGAGAACCAAGAACACATTTATTCATATGGTTTTGGTTAAGTCATGGCCAAGACAGTGAGGAGGGATTTTTATAGTCAAGTTATATTTTCTATATATGGATGGAAATTACCATATGGAGTGATAATTTCCCCTGGAAGCTACGAGCAAGAAAATCAAGCCCTGAATTTTGGTTAGATATTCTGATCAAGCCAAGGCCAGTTGCTAATTTAACCACTTGGCGATTTTATTGTACCCTCCATGTCTAATTTAAATCTCTTCTGACGGGAGTCCATGTTTCCTTTTGGTTGTAGACTGCCTTGATTATCTTGCCTCTAAAGCTGTCCTCTGACAAGTGTTTCTTTCAATAGCAATGCTGACGCAAGCAGTCCCAGGCCCTTCATTCCTTTCGTCCCTCCCATTTGTTCCAGCCTCCACACCACATCTTCAAATTTTCATTTGTTTATGGGGCCTTGCAGTGGGCCAGGCCCGGTTGGAAAACCAATCCTATTTAAAAATAACCTAGGCAGATAAAAAACTGTTGATTTTTAGCGTCATTTGCTTCACTTCTCAATCTCTCAAGCAGTTGAACTGACACAGTTTAGGGATTGGTCTGGGCACTGTGTATATACATGGGGTGAAAGAGTGGAACCAAAAATAACATTCATTAAATAAGACCTGAAGACTTGGAGTGGCTTTCCTCAAATGTTTCATCCTTTTCCTGGTTTGCAGCTATTTGACATGTCACAGTCCTAGTGGATATACTATCTCACAACTGCTTTACCTACAACTGCTGTTGCAAGTGAGTAGGGAATCAGGCACAGGTATTTGGTATTGCTGACTGACATTAAATCATCTGTGTAGTGACTGGTAAATACAGATGTAAGTAAACTTGGTGTTAATGTAAGTGGATAAACATGTTCTATAAATGTACACTGAAGACTGATTAAGCTGTTAAGCTTTTACAAACCCAGAAAACAAAATCCTTTATGCATTCTTTACTGATGAATGAAGTATCAGAAGGTTTTAGCCTTTTTTTTCCCCCCCATGCAGGTGTAGATCTGAATTCGTTGCGCCAAATGAAGATACAGAGACCTATGACAATGCTTACAGATGTCCGACAACTCATATCAAGTGGAGGAAGTGTGAATCAAAAGAATGATGAAGGAGTTACACTGGTGAGTGGGAACAGGTCATAATCAGAGTTTCAGCCCTGTGAATATGCATATGTTTCAGCTGTTTACCAGTGAGCATATTTGCAAGTGTGGATGCAAGGAAATCCACAGAGCTAGGAGGTCTGCTGCTACAAAGAGAAATGTAGGAATGCAAGATTTGGGTCCTCATCGGCCTTTTGAAAATAGATATATGTCACTCTCCTGCCTACTACTGATTTTTTAAAAAAGGTATGGTGCAGCATCTGTATCATAATGACAACTTTTTTACTCTTAGTCATATATATTTTTAAAGTAGCACACTGAATATGCACCTCAAAAATTATTAGCAAGAAAAGTATTGTATATTCTAATTTAAAATTTGAGCAGATACTTATGATCCCTGATAGTCTGTTTAACAGATGTCCTGAAACTTCACTGAGCTGAGCTAGAAGGTATCCCATCTTGATTAAATGTAATAAAGCATCCACCATATCTGTGGATAAAATATTCCCTCTTCAAAATCTGCATGTAAATTCTAGTAACTGGGTCTCTTTTTTATGCTTTTTCTATTCCTCTAATTTTTCAAGATTGATGTATTGAATCATTTTAAAAGTAACATTTTTTTTCCTAAATTGCATACATCAATGAAATGTTCTCTTTGCATAAAAAATCTTCACTATCGTTATAAATCAGTAAATGGTCATCAGTAGCATCCAGATGTTGAATCACTTTTTTTTATTCCTTTACATTTTTCTGAAAACACAAAACTAAAATAATTAAAAAAGCAAGTGTTACAGAACCATTGCATTTATGCTGGGTTACATTCAGTGATGCTACATTAATGCACTTAATCATTAGTATTTAATTCCATGTTTTTAAAACCTATGGCGTGTTTAAACTATCACTGAAAAAGTGAGCAGGCTCATATCTGGGGTTCTTGAATCCAAACACTAGTGGGATCTGCACTGAAAGTTATGGCTTTTGAGGTGGCCACCCCAAGGTAGTTAGCTGGAGTGAAAAACAGGAGCAGGGAGTAGGAGGAAGAGCAATAAGGCAACTGTAGCTTACTCCATTAAAGCATTGATTTAATTTCAAGTTTCCTGGTACATTTAAGCTAAGCTGCTAACTCAACTGTAAAATGCAAGTTGTTTGCATTCTGCTTTGCTCTTACTGATATTTTGGTATGAACTGGCTTGGTTAAACTGAGTTAAAAACTTGCATAATTATCACTGTATAAAACTTCTTCGGTATTTAGCGGAATAGTTGAAATGCATGACTGAAAAGTGTAAAACTATTGCATATATCAGGAAAAATCATGTTGGACAGTTTGCTTTTTTTGCTGTTTGCTCAGAGGAATGTGGACAAAGGGGACATTTTTGTGTGAACGGGTTTAATGTTGAACTTTGTTTTCTGAACTTCTTTCACAGTCTTGCAACAAGTAGCTACAGAGAGGATCATTTTGCTTTTGTAGGAGATTTCTATTATGTGAAACTTTTGTCTTACAAACTGGTGGGAAATTCAGAGTTTGTTAGGCTGCTCTGTCTCTATTCATGGGTGTGGAGTCAGCCAGTCTGCAATAGCTGTATGTGTATCAAAAGGTTCTGGGAATACGTTTTTGTTGCTCTAAATCTATCTGTACAGAGACAACAACAAAAATACTACTTTTAGGTAGCAAATTATTTTTTTTTCTACTGATAGAGTCTAAGTTGATACAGTTTATGGCTGGAATATGGTTATATATGAAACTCTACCGAAAACTAAAAGTCTGTTTCTATAATCCTATAGATTGAAATTCAGCAAGTCTGTTTTTCCCTAAATAATAGGTTGTATCATGTGCTTTCATTCTTTACTGAGTGTAATCAATTGAATATATTTTATATTCCCTGAATATTCCTCGTTTCTGAAGCTGGACTGTAAGCCTTAATAAGAACCTTGACACAAGTAGATTCTTTATTTTATAATAATGAGGCGTACCAAGGCAATAAACTTGTCAACGCAAGCTGCACCAAACCCTTCGTCAGTTTGTGAGAGCAACCTGACACAGAGGTATCCTCAGAGCAGTCTAACTGTTTTTTAAATAATAAATTCACCTTTCCAAGCAGCAGATTAAGTAGTGTAAGGCTGGAAAAGGTGCTATAAGTCCCAAACAGGGAGCAGTAAATTAGGAAATAAGGTTTAATTAAGTTCGTTTCTTAGCTGGATGTTCTACAATGTTTGATATGTCTCTGGACAACATACACCAGCAGGTACAAACATAAAGTACTTTCTTTGTGGTGGCAAACTCAGAGAAGAGGGGCACTGCTTCTTCCTCCTCAGGTATTTATTTTCTGTAAGTCACAAGCAATCTCCTCTTCCTGCAAGATAAATTATCTGAGTCCATGTGTAAATTGTTGGCCTAGATACATAGGACGTACATATGTATAGATAAAGAATGGTATATGGCAAAAATATGTTTATGAGAAATTTTCTGATGAAAATTTTTTCTTTGAAAGATATTTCAGTCATAAAATATGTCATTTGTCCTGTGAACTTTTAGACTGCTTTAAAATAGCAGTTATCAAATTGATATTTCAATAGAGAATATAATTTCTTTTGTTAAAAACAAAAAGCTAGAGCTAAATCAAACTAGGAGAAAAATTATGATTGTTTGTACACTTTGAATGAGAACATTTCTAGTGTACAGAACTGGTGTTCTGCCCCCACTTCTTCCTCCCTAAACACGTTTCCTATTCCATTTTTGATAAAGAATTGCTTCTTGGTGGGAAAACTCTCTAGAGGAAAATTTTTGATGAGCTCTATATTTTATCCCTCTGCATCGCAAATGTTCATAAGGAAAACTGTGCATACTTTGCAGATG